AAAAAAAAAAAAGAATAAAAGATGTGATGTCTCAAAAAGGCTTAGCAGGACATCTGATACATAGAAATTACTTAATAAGCATCTACTCCATTCCCCTGAATGAACAGTAAGAAAGATAAAGAGTGGGAAAATATTTTCAATCAATATGTCTGCTTGAAGGCAGAGTTAGCACTACTGTTTTGTTTTTTACTGTTAACTCTTGGGAGACACTTGGAGATGACCAGGAAGAGGTAGGATGTACCAAATTAGAGTTCCAAGAGGAAATGTAATTGACTGGTGGTGAGTAGTAAAAATCTGAGACAAATGTGCTTGTGCATAAGTTACTTAACTGCTTTGGTCCTGCCTCCTGGTGCATAAAGCAAAAACCAATGCCAGTAGGGTGTGTAGAGACCCTTGGTTTGCTTGGCCAACCCATTTCCTGCATTAGCTAAGACTTGAGTTCCTTTTCACAGGAAGGGTTCAAGTAGCCATGCTCATTTCACTCCTTAGTTGTCTCATATAAAGAGACCATGGAGTCACTTGATGTAGGAGGACAAACCCGTTGGCTGGGCTGACACAGTTGGCTTCTCTCTCCGGAGGACTAATTGACACGATGAATACCAAGTGCTTCACATGCGCCCCAGATGTGATGAGGGTTCAGTAATTTTTAACTAAACGTAAAGACCATTTCCTGGCCCGTATTCTTCCCTAACCGAAATTTAGTCTGCGGTACTTATAATGTAGCTCATTAGTACAGGCCTAACAGGCAGAGCAGGGAGAATTTCCCTCAGCTTTGGAGTGACAGCTCCAATCAAGAGGAGGATGACATTTCTACCTTTATATCCCTTTCATGCTAGGGAGATTTCTGAATGAAGCATGTATTTAGCAGTTTTCTCTAGAAAAGCCTACCAGTTCTCATGCTGGAAAGTTTAATGCCACTGTCCCAGTCTAGGTAGATTCAGACCTAGGATTGCTTATTTTTAACAAGTCAGACTGGAGACAATGGAGGTGAAATGCCATTTCTAACTGTGCCTCTTTCTCCTGGGCCCCCTCTGAGAGTACAGCTTCAGCGTCAGGAATGGTTCTCTACTTTGCCTGTCCTTAACAGGTTCAGCTCATTAACTGTAGCAAAACTTACTTGGCAAGGATTGTATCTCATTTTTCTCATTAAGCAAGAACAGGCACCACAGAGGGAGAAAGGTGGGGATTTAGCTCTTGTGATCCTAAGGACGTCTAAGACGGGAAGGGCTTTCCTTAATAAAAATATCCACATGTTCCTATCGAAGTATTTATCTCAACTATCCACCAGTGTGCTGAAGGGAGAATTTTCACTCATCCATGCACTTTTCGTATTTCAGTGTTTATTTTCTTTTCTCTTTCAACTTCTTACGTTATGAAACTATTACTTCCTTTTCTTTTTCTGTATGGAGCTGAGGGTCACTTTGATTTGTTTCTCTTTTTATAGTATTCATTCTAATTAAGTTTTCTCAGTTGAATGTATAGTGTTATTCTCATGGCAGAAATTCATTCTGTCTCTGTCTCTGTCTGTCTATCTGAATTTCCCAATATTGAAAATTTCCTGCTTTGGGATTAGGCAACCATGTGATTAATGCAAATCAAAGATCTTGTAAAGTTTTTACATTCGCTGAAATATTCTGCAATGTTTTGGAGATATCAACAAGAGTATAGGGCAAAATATCATTCTTCCAGGGCTATGTACTGAGAAGAAGTCACTTAGCCACAGCATAGCAACCCCTACAAACACTTTCCCTTCATTTGCGCGCACACACACACACACACATGTATATAATTTGTAACCAGCAAAGTATAATCCAGGTCTCTTTTCAAAAGGAGCAACCAGTTCAAATGCACAGCTGGGTATGCCAGAAAACACATAATTAGACAAATTGGATTTAAGAGTTACGTAAGGTCTCAGCTGAGCCTGTGAATAAGAAGCTGAATGAAACGTTGTGATTGCTGCTCTGGTGCCTGGAAAGAACAGAATATGTGGATATGTGTGTTTTGGGCAAATAAAAGGCAATTACTGAGAGTTATGGAGTGTGGTTGGCATTCTAGAGAGTTAGACTATAGAATGTTTCACAGTGGGTTGTGCTGGAGGATAAATGTTGTCCAGGGCTAAAAGGGGAAGTCTGTTAGAAGAGATGTACTTAAGAGGAAAAGATCTGAGAAATCCTATTTTGGAATTGTATTTTGCAAAAAAGTAAAGGGCAGTTGAAAAATGGCATATTATACAATTTTGATTACATGTTATGTAATTTTTCTACACATTTATAAAAAGTCTTAGAGAATTTTAAGTGTCAAGAACACATTATATATTATTTTCTCCCATAAAAATGGACTTCCCCAGCCAAGGCAGGTATATTCTGGAAAAGATAACAAGCAGTCTACAGTTTCAGAATTGTTCATTAAGAATTCTCAAACCAATGACTAAATATTGAAGATAAGCTCCCTCATAGGATTAAGAAGCTAAAACTAAATTGCCACTTTTTTCTATTTGCAAGTAATCTTACTTGCAAATTTGTCTCAAGGCAACTGAATGAAAAGTAGATATTCTTCTCTCTCAACAATCTCTCTGAAATAAATGGGACAAAAAAGCAATTGTCTTAGAGAGTCTTATTTTCTTAAAGAAAATATCCTGGATTAATTGACCAAAGTACCTATTAGTCCCCGTGATACCAGCACTTACAGCATTTGGGGCTTGTTTCTCAGTGTGCAATTCAAATATATATCCATAAAAATCCTCGCCGATAGTAATAACTTGTCTATTGATGTCACCTAGCCATTAAAAATCTCTATTAGCAATCTTCATATTTGGTTTGATATCATTTTTAAAAAGTGTTTTGAATACCTTTAATTTGCAGACCACATGCCAGAGATAGGGGCAAATACAAAGACAAACAAAAAGCATCTTCCTTCAAAACCTATATTCTAGTGACCAATATAGAAATACAACAGGGAAGTCAACTTGGTGTGTTGTTTTGTGGCAACTTTGCCATATAATTTGTGGTTGTACAACCGAATTTTCTTTTATTTTGATAATGAGGAATTATTTTGAAGAAATGGAATTTGAGTGGGCCAGAGATTTAGTTCAGTGGCACCACGCCTGCCTCATAAATACAAGGTCTTGAGTTTGATCCCCAGTACCACGCAACAAAAACAAAACAAAACAAAACAATAAAAAAACAAATGGACTTTGCTTATGTTACCATTTGAAGTATACTTTGCATCAAAGGGATGTTCTTTGTCACAAGTATGTCTTTTTACCACTATGATGCTTATCATTATGATAAAGTATATACTTTCACATTGATTATATATGTGAACAATGGTTGGAAAATTCCTGACTATGAACTACATGAAAAACCTTAGTGGTGAATAAAAAAACCAAAGGAATCTGATGAAGGTATGTACCGAGAAGATTCTTGTATTTCACAATCCTTTAATTTTTAACAGGTACCCATCAAACTATCCAATTCCAAATGCCATATTTGGACAATCTCCTCATTTATTTATATGCAGGAAAGCTACTGAAAATATATTTGCTAGCAACTGAAACACTAAGGCATAAAAAGCTTGTCAGGAACACAAAAGTGATTACAGTATGGCTAGCTGCTTCTTAGTCTAAAATGAAGAGAATCAAGATTGTCATACAGATTCTAAAAACTTTCCAAAATGCCAAAGATGGCAGGTAAATTTAGTTTCACTTTCCTTAAATTATACAAAAGTTCTTTATTCTTGAGCTGGTACTTAAATACGCTTGTCACAGAAAGGAAGGTATTTGCTGTTGTTCAGTAAAACCCATTGACTTAAGGTACTTTAACACAATTTTCTAGGCTGAAAAACAACAATTCTTCCTCCCTTGCAATGGGGAAAAAGAACAATCATTTTGAGTAACAGCCATTTATGATTAAAAAATCATAGCTCATTCTTTGGTGTGTTGCCTACTTTAGTTTCTAGCAAGATGAGTAATGTTAGAAATGGGTGAACGCTTTTTGAGTTAGAACCAAAGAGTCGTTAGTTTTGACCCAAAAGAACTTTCCTCCAACCTTGAGTATTTATAGAGAGATATTCTGGTTTGTAAAAGCAAATTCAATACTGATCTTGTCAGGGAAACTAAGAATAAAAACATGAGTAAGAAAGTAGAGACTTACTGTATCACGTTGCCTGTTATCTTTCCCTGATATTATCAAGAAGTAGTTCCATGTCAATAGCAACAACAAAACCAGGGGTATCATGTAGAGCTCAAAGTTCCATACTACAAAGAGAAAGAGCTGGAGGAAAGAGAAGAGAGGAAAAAGATGAGTCAACCCTGAATTTCATTAGATGGACTCTCTTACTCATACTCCACCTCAAAAACCAAAAAACTCAATACAACAGGAAGGTTTATCTGGAATACAAAGCCTGAGCACTTGTGTGGCAGTTTTCTAAAAGCACGACTGACCCTACAAAAACATGGTTAAGATGTTTACTTTATTTCATTTCTAAGAAGGAAAAACTAATACCATTATATTGTCAAAGAGGCAATTTTAAGTAGGTTAGACCAAATAAGTTAAAAAAAAAAAAGGCAGAAACTTGAGCTTCCGTACATCGTCAGAATAACCCAGTCTAGCTGTCTTAACGACAAAGGCTGAATCGCTATTAAACACCAGGGGCTTTTTTTTTTTTTTTTAAATCTCACTTGGATAACACAATGTAACCAGTATAATAGACAGATGAAAATACCAAGGCTACACCAAAGAGCAGCAAAGATTTCATATTATGAAAAAAACACTGCTACCATCAAGTGTAGAAAAGGTTGCCTTAACATTCAGAATCACGACAGAAATCAAATAGCTATTAAATGAAAATAAAGAGTAATTTTGTCAAGTTATTTTGTCAAAGAAAATTCTGAAATATCCATTTGTATTAGTTTTTGATACCTATTTTTCTACATATAAAAACTACTTTTTATTGTAAGGTGAATGTTAGATCAGGGACTCTCGGTGGCAAATAGAGCCATTCTAAACGCTCTAAAAACAGCATTTAAATCGTCAAATAACAGGACTTTGGGTATAAAGTGCGGCTCACCCCCTACATATCATTTATTCTTGGGGTCTGTGGCTCTTCCTGTCAAATGAAGGTCATGTTAAGTCGGGTAACTCTTAAGAGCTGAACTCCACATGGGACTGTACGGCTAACTACCTATATAACCTGTTAACAACTCAAACATCCTCCACTGAGATTCCTCCTCTGTGGAATGGGGACAATGGAAGGATCACTTCATAGTTCTGGAAATGAAATAGTTAAAAGGCGTTAAGGATTTGTTACACTGCTTGGTACCCAGTAAGTGGGAAAAAACAAAAATAAAAACTACTGGACTACTGTGTGAGTGTTATTGGTGTTCAGAAAGTTACCAAGTCGTTGACCATGGTCCTCAAGTTCTAAAGTCACTCGCCCACTAAGAGTGAGCTGGATGTGTAGCATAACTAGGGAGTTCAGTCGGCTGCTTGAGGTACCATCAGCTTCCACCTCTGGGGGTCAGGAGATTTAGGGGTCATGCCCTAAGGTCACTCCTGTCAGGCACAGTGGCAGGGGTAGGGGACACCTGAAAGAATCCCAGTCAGGCTGACAGTCCATTCAAATATGGCAGAGATAATTAAATACGGGGTAGGGGGGAGAGTCCCCCAGACGGCCAAAGCATCCAAGATCTAGGCCTTAGAAAACCACTTTGCCTCAATATTTCCATATCTGGACAGAATCTATAGATCTGATTACTTCTACAGCACTTTTCCGATATTTAAAATGAATTCATAACATTACTGTACCACTGGGTTTATTAATATTAACTTTTACTGAGTTTTTTTTTTTTTGCACTTCTTCCTTTAAAACACATTTAGGAAGCTTCAAAATGTTCTATGCCTCTCTTTTTTTAACTGAGTTTTTTAATATTCAAAATCCTAAATGGACACCCAAAATACAAATGATGGCTTGGTAACCTAATAAATGAAATTTGGAGAGTGTTGTGTACTCACAATGCTAGATTCAAGTTCGTAAATAAGAAATATTATAAATATTGCAATACATGAAACATGAGCGTGTCTTTTATTTCACTAGAAAAGTAGAATGACTTCTAGAAAGAGAAGATATCTGCATTTAATTTTTGAAAAACATTTAAAATGATAAAAATTACAGTCAGTGGTTATGATTATTATATATTTTTATAAAGATAGTTATTTTCCAAGAATCAATCAAGGTAAACTTATACAGACATTAACAATGTTTACAAAGCAGAAACTTTTCTCCCTCTCCCTCCCCGACTCCTTCTTTTTTTTGGTTCTAGAAAATCAAATGTAGGACCTTGTGCATGCTAGGCAAGCACTCTAACACTGAACTATACCCCCGACATGAAAAATTATTTTTGGTTAGAGACTAAGTTTTTGCACATTTATTTGTAATGTGTAGGCAATCACTAGGATGTAAGCTCCCTAAGTGTAGAGACTTCTTTTTTTTCCACTGTTTTAGATTTGGATTTTAGAAGAGTTCTTAGGGTTCAGTAAATGCTCAATAAGTAAATTTTACCAAATTAATGAGTAATTAGGTACAGCATTCCCAAATCATTCAACAGCAATCTATGTAATTGTATTAGTAAAAGTATAGAACATACCCTTTAAGATAACATATAAAGTATATAAAACCAACTAATTTCAGAAAAATTCATTTAGAATCATAAATTAATAGCAAAGGTCTACCTCTGATGAATAAGCCTGCCTTAGCCCTTCTTCCAGATGAGATTGTCTTTCCATTCTGGCTATGATCATGAAGTGTTGTGCACAGTAGGGTCTAACCACAGTTGCGTCTCCTGAACCTACTTACATGTTTGTCTTTCCTGAGGGCATTCACCCACCTCAGTGTGTTCTGGTGTCATGGATGGGACTAAAGTTATTATATTGCTTAATATGACCAGCTGTAATCATCTTTAACCTGTTGAGCAGATGAAATATCCCTGGTAGTGTCTACTCATCGGTGTGAAAGACCTAGTGTTATACAGAGTCAATTTTTTGTAATGTTCATGTAGTGGTGTTGGCTGTTGGTCTGGCATTACATAGAGGACTCTTTCTAGGTGGTAATCCTGCAAGTAATCAAGACATCTGTCATGCCTTTTTCTTCTCTAGGTTCAACATCACCATCATCATCAGGAAAAGGATGTGTTTCTTTGCACTTCCCTACTGTACACATCTTCTCATACTCAAATCAAGACATCGATAACCTTCCCAAAGTACAGCACTTAGAACAGACACAACACTGCTCACAAGGGCCTGTTGTTAATATACCCCATCAACATGGACACCAGAACAAGTGTGGGGGAAAGTCAGAGAAGAGAGAAACAAAAGAAGTAATTACATTAGCTTTACAGATTCCAGCAATGGAAAAATTGTCTCTTGTGTTATGTTGTGTTCTTTAAGAATCTACTATTTTAGGAGATCCTTCTATTGAAAATATCTTTTTAAAAATAGGGCTTTGAATAAATGCTAAATACAAAAGCATTTAGTATTATGAAAGAATAATAAACAACATGAGCACAGATTAACAATTACAGTGCATTTATCGAACATTTGAAATGTGCTATGCAATAGTGAATGGTCAGAAGTAAGACAAAATGGTCTTTGGTCTCAGATTGCTAAGAGTCACTGGAAAAACAAAAAGCAATCACTCACTATAATACTAGTGATGATTCTAATTCTTGTCAGCTATTAAGGGTTCTTTAATAAAAAGAGCCCTCTACACTGAAGCCTCTTCCCTCCCCCTGGGGCCCATCTGCACTAAGACTGATCCTCTCTTCTTTCCTACAAAAAAATGAAATAATGCAGAAGACTGGACCTTCAGTGTCCCATCAGGTTAGAGAAGAATGAAAGTGGACAGGAGAAAACCCAAGGAAAGCGAAGATGACCCATGATCTGTCCTTGGTTCTGACTATACTTTTAGAGAATGGATGAAATGGGATGAAAAAATAAGTTAAGGGGAAAAAAAAAATCCCTTGACCCAAAGAATATAAATGTAAACCATAAAATTTGTAGCATGTGTCTTCACCCATACTTCCCGAATCCTCTTTTCATTTATTTATTTATTTATTCATTCATTCATTTTTTGCCTGTTTGGAACATGGAGAGCAGACCAAAGGGTTCAGAATTCTTCAAAATTATACCAGGTGATAAGGACTCATAGATTTTTACAGTATTTAATTTCATTCAACTTTACCAGTATTGCACCTCCTCTCTTTATCCCTCATCCTTTCACAACACACAATCTTTTCATTTCTCCCCCTTTCTTCCTATAACCATACACCCACTGCCCACTGTCCACAGTCCACTTTTAATAAGGAAGCTTGAGCTATCTATAATTTACTTTCGTAGAATCCATGCCTCCCTTCTAGAAAAAGCCCTATATTAGTAATCTCTGCCTATTAGAGACTAATCTAACAAAGCACTTGGTGGTTTACTCTTGAAAACATCACTAGGTGGCCATTATGATTGGGGAAGGGAGGCTAGGGGAATGGGAAAAAAATAAGAACCAAGATATGTCATGTAGCAGTACAAGATCCCAGTGATGAATGTAACTGGATTGTATATCTAAAATATAGCAATAAAAATATTTTTAAAAATACAATTAGAGTTGTATAGCAGAAAGTTAACATGGAACGTCAGTCAAATGGTACTAAGTACACACAACTTTTATCATTAGAAAGGGATACTGAGTGATTTACCGATTATCTAGAAGTTAGAAGCTCTTTTAACTGGCTTTTGGACTATGAACTATGACCATGAGTTCCCTCAAGGTATTATGAAGCTTAGTAAAATTGACAGAGTATAGGTATTCACACAAAGTCCGGGGCATCCTAGCTCCCCGGTCATGATCTGGGTGAGCTTGGGCAAACTATTAGATCTCTCTTAGTTTTATCTGAAGCGTGGAAATGCTATGTCCTTTGCACTTTTGAGATGGAATTAGTGTGATGTTTGGCCCCTACAAGGTGCTCCACAGCAAAAATATATTGGCCTATACTGTGTATGATTTATACTCCTTGCAGCTTAGCACTTTCCCTCTAGCACCTCAGTGTCCATCGTTAATAATCCTTTTAAGTACAAGAGCTATGTAAAAGAAGCCATGCAATAGACTAGGAAAAGATGATGAAAGAGCGCCATTGCCAGCGTTCATACAAGGTGCGATAAAATGCAGTGAACATTTAAATTAAACAACACACCACCATTCACCCCCATTTGCTTTAAACCCAGTCAGC